TCTCAGTAAAATCGGAAAACTGTATCATAAATCGTTCATTGGCAAAATATCAGTTCATCATATCGAACTGGACTGTTCCTGTTGCAAAACATCAATCCATTTTCACTATTCATGCGTTTCATATAAATTCCATTGTTTTCTAACTCTTCCTTTCTTTATCTTCCCCCATCTTCTGCTGCTAGACATTACGTCATATACTACTTATAAGTAGCTCGCATAACAATATGGTTGATTTAAACAAACAAAAAGAATCACATTTGAGAAATCGAGACTTAAGCATGACTGGGCTACATTTGATACGTAATTGAGTAATTGGTCTATAGGAAATCGACAGTAATTTGTGAACTCCAAAACAAAGATAATGGTATGTCAAAAGAAGGCTTAAAAATTGGATAACATGAAAATACCGTACGTAACATAATTATTGATTGCACAGCCAATATGGATTTATGAATATTTTCCAACTGATCCTTTTGCTTGTAGAATGTAGAAAACGACCGGTGTAGCAACATTCTCTGTAGCAGTAGGTCTCAACATATACAAGAGGAAAAGCAAGATCCTCTAGTACAATAAAACATGCACCAAACCAAATCAAATTTTATGCAGAATCTTTGGACGACTTAAAAGCTTTACATATTTAAACAGCAAAATTGATGTGCATGGTGGATATGATACAGATGTGAAGTTGCGGATCAGCAAGGCAGGGGCGTCATATCTATGAATGAACAACATCTAAAATTCGAAACAACTATCAGCGAACACCAAAGTCAGAAATTTCAATATTAAAATATCAAGACAGTTCGAAATCTTGGCGAAATCTTGGAGAACCACGAAAATCATCATTTAGAAGTCACAGGTGTTCACTAACAGTTATTTAGATGAAATTTTGGGGATCTGTTGACCAGACATCATTATCAACAACCTACTGTAGCAGAAAATAAACCAGAATCCAGAAAAAGAAGAAATCAGAAAGAAGCTCAATAGGTGGGTAGAACAAGCATTGTATAAATATCCGGAGTTATCAATCAAGTCGACTAAATAAGAATCACATTTAAAATCAGTGCATACTTGGTCCGAGTATACGATAGTGACTGAACTTAGTTAGATAACTATTACTATGGATTGAAAAGCCATGAAGGGATCTTTTGTTCCAAAGTAACAGTTTTTAACATTGTGTACTCATTAAAGTTACCCAAAGCAGGCCATACAATATAGTCACGTTTTATTGTTAGAGAGAGCAGTTTGTTTCCGTTCAGTTAGGAGTTGTTGTGACTTCATCAAATGCATGAACAGGTCACATACCAGTGAACTGAGCTTCACTGCACATTCTTTCAGGATCGCATGGCGTATGTTGTCATAACTTGGAGAGTTTTCTGGACTCAGTAATTTAGATTTTTGTACAATCAACCGGGGGGTAGGTTGGGTATTACGTAGACCATCTGCTGGCAATAAAGTTGGGTGTTACCATTTGGAGCATAGACATGGTGACTAGTCACTTACTGATCCATTAATAAAATTATCCGTGAAGAAACCTTGAACAAGCCATGGGAACTATATGCAGTGTATAGCGTATTATTACAAGGAAATAAATCTCAGTTGATGGCAGAAATGCTGTGGAAAAATTTGGAATAAACTTCTATTGATTTAGAAGAATAATGTTATGATCAAAAGTAAACTAAAAAGGGAATCTGTATGTTTATTAGTCACGAAAATGGAGAACGATACGCAGGACAAAAACAACTAAAATATGTAGTTTTCGGAATAAGAGATGTAACATTTGAAATGCAGGGGCGTTTAGAGGGTAAAGCATTGTGCGTTTCATTTCATTAAAACGTTGCATGCCTGATGACCCACTGGTTAGTGTAGCTTTAACCACGTAAATCTCGAAAAGTAAACAAGGAACTCCTAACTGGTCCATAAACAAGTCTGGAGAATATCTGAATTGGATAGGGTTCCAACCTTATGGGACGTTGATTATCAAACACTTCAAAAGGGCCTTCGTAACTACTGAGGAAGACTTTTTTTGCTGAGTATGCTCAATTAATCCGGTTTAAAGCCCTAATTCCGAAGGTCGTACTTACTGTTTTTGACAAACGTTAAAGTCTTGCAATATACTGTAGTTC